TTTTTCCGAATTAAAAAACATATAAATGATTTTTTTTCAAATCATTTAAATAATTTGTTATGTGCAATTATACAATTATATACAAAAACAAGATTGATGCATTATATACAAGAAGTTAAAATAAGCGATAGACATAAATTTAATAAATTTAATAAATTAATATTATTTAAAACACAATAAAAGAAATAAATATATATATAAGTATTTATTTTATTCAATCTTTTTGTAAAAATTTATATTACTATCTCTCTATATTAGGAAGAGTGTTTAATAAAAATAACAGGCAATACATAAGATTATATATTTATAAAAATATAATATAAAAAATATCAAATGATATAAATATAAAATTTGTTAAATGTATCAATAATATATTCAATATGTAAATATTAAATGAATAATGTGTTTTTTTTAAATATTTCCAATGCGAAATTATATCAGTGATTTTGAATTTTCTTCGTGTTAATATAATAAAATCCTTTACATTGTATTTTTCTAAGTTACAAAACTATTTCTTAAGAAACAACAGAAAATATTTTATATAAAATAATGAAAACAGCATGTTTCTTTATTAATTAGTTTAAAATATTATGTATTTAATATATGTATTAAAATTTATTATGTTCATCATAGTTAGATTAAGAATCACTAATTACAATATGACAATCACATGAAAAGCCGAATATATTCGAGAACTTACGAAAATAATCGAAGTCAGACCAGTGCCCGCAAACAGTTACCACTTGTACTAAGGCTACTACAGTACCTCTCGTACTAAAGCTTGGTCTATATATTTCATATGTCTATGGCGAAATCCGTGCGCTTACGCGCGCTCGACCAAGTTCGGCACGTCGAGAAAGAGAATGTCGCCCCTCCTTCTCGCTCTGATCGCTCGACTCTATCGCGATCGAGAATGCTAAATGCTTTCTCGGCGTGAATTTGAGTCGCGGACGCGCAATTATAATTGATACGATTTTTAGGAAACATTACATCTGAAAAAAGATGAACATATGAAATAAATTTTAATAGAGAATTATTTTATTTAACAATTTTACAATTATTTTACACTATCCTGTAGCGATATGTTTGCTACATCTGGTAAAGTCAAACGCGTATTTAGAACGACACACGTATACACACATAGCCGGATCACTCGGAATCATTAGATATTTGGAATCGAGCGACAAATATAACGATCGGACTTTTGTTTCTTCTCGAATCGGAGATGTCGTTTAATTGTTTTGAGCAATGCGAATAATTGCGTGCATCCGTATAATTGTCGTAGCATGTAAATTTAGAGAGGATAATCAATTACTTACAGTCGTGGAATTTAATCACTAGTCGTTATTAAAATGAAATATTCAAATTGTAACGGAAGCGAAAATAATGACAGGACGAAAAATATGTTGACAATAAAAGAAACATCTCGAACAAATATGTGATCCGGACAATCGATTTGACAAAAAAAGACGGGGATTCGATCTCAAGATTTTGCGGAGTCAAGACGTGTCGCGAGAACATTATAATCCGAGATTTTTAATAAAGAAACCGATAACGTAATACTTCGTCTCATACTGATCGATGCTCCTGCAATCACCAACTGCTATCACTAAAGTGGTGACTCCGATGTGATCGCGAGTGTGGTGTAATTATAAAGACAATCGAGCGTGACTTTCGTGTGTTTTTAAAAAAAAAAAGAAGTATGGTTAACCAAGAAGCGAGATGGTGCTAACGCGTGATGAGCCGAGCCAGCAATCGACGGAACAGCAGCAACATTTTTTAGAACAACAACTGCAATTAGAGCAAGAAAGAAGAGCGCTCGAACAGCAATGACTCCAACTGACGCAGCAGCAGCATCTATTGCCTGTGCAACATCTAGCGGCGGAGCAACCGCAGGATTTCGTCGCGCCGGGAGCTGAGGTGAATCGAGTAGGAATGAGAATGCTCGAGTTCACTCCAATTGACCCTGAACTGTGGTTCAGTATTGTTGACCGCAGTTTTTCGACCGCCGGTATCACAAAAGACGCCACAAAATTCGGTTACACTGTCACCGCGTTAAGTCCGTGTTATACGGTGGAGGTGCGCGACATTATTATAGACCCGTCCGCGGAAAATGCGTATGAGACTTTAAAAACGGAACTTATTAAACGTCTTAGTTTGTCTCAAGAACATAAGACTCGCAGACTTCTAGAGCACGAGGAGATAGGTGATCGCAAACCGTCGCAATTTTTGCGTCACTTATGTGGTCTTGCCGGTAACGTAATCGGGGAGAAAGTATTGCGCACGGTGTAGTTGAGCCGTTTACTCGCGTTCTTACAGCCACATTTAGCGGCTTGAACGGAGAGCACATTGGATCAGTTAGCGGACGTCGCGGATGCGATCATGGATGCAACGCGTGGGCCAGTATTTCAGGTCGCGGAAGCCACGCGACCATCATTTCGAGCCGCAGAATAGCGTTGGATAACATGACGATCGAAGCGAAGTTCAACTTGGATGGATGCAACTGGAACAGATGCGTCTGTCGTTGTAACAAGAGATGGCAGAACAGCTGACAGCCATACGGAAATCGATAGAATCCATCGGAGTATGCGACAGAAATCGCGGTAGAGATCGGCGGCGATCGCGTTCGCGGCCGCGTTCGCGAGGGCGAAGTCATTCAGAAAATGGCCTGTGCTGGTGGTATTGGAAATTCGGGCCAAATGCAAGACGTTGCGGGCCACCTTGCTCGGCAAACCAGCAGCAGGCGGGAAATGCAGCGGCTCATCGCTAATGGCGACTAGTGAAGAGGACCCGATGACGCGTCGTCTTTTTATAACCGATCGTCGTACGAGAATAAGTTTCCTGATCGACACGGGGGCTGATTTGTGTGTCTATCCGCGAAGAATGTTACGCGG